ATCGAACCATTTCACCGAAAATAAAATAATTTAAATTTTCAATGATTTTTTCTGAAGGCCTGAAGCACTCGAAAAATCTGAAAAAATTCAAGATTGTTCGGATTGTTGAAAAGTACCTTCATGAATTTTTTCAGATTTTTTAATAGCTTCAGGCCTTCAGAAAAAATATAGATAGAAAATGGACGTCTATAGGGGAGGAGGGGAGTAGGAGGGGGGAGGGGGTCCAAAATTTTGGTTTTGGCACTTTTTTATCATGTACTATAACATACCAAAATTTCAGGAAAATCCGTGAACCTCGCCCGCAGGTTTATTTGAAAAATTCTGAATCTGACCCATATATATATATTATATAATATATACATATATGTATATATATGTTTTTTTTTTTTTTTTAGAAATCGAAATCAGAAAAATTGGGGACGCAAGTCAACATATACTATAATTTACTGTTATAGTACTACTAATTAAGTAACCTCATATTTTTTGAGAAGTTTAAGACTTCATTGCAACTTTAATGTGCTATTTTTTGGTGGAAAAGAAAATTCGATTTTTCTTCAAATTTATTTTTGCACTTGTCGCATGAGTAATCTTTGCGATCTTCGTGGACCGTCTTTTGGTGTCTTCTAAAATTGCTTTGATCCCCAAACTTCTTCTCGCATTTGTCGCATGCATAATCTCTACGACTTTCGTGTACTGTGCTTTGATGCCTGAGTAAATGCGATTTTCGAACAAATTTCTTTTCGCACTTGTCACATACGAAATCTTTACGACCTTCGTGTGTCGCCCTTTGGTGGTTGACTAAATTCGATTTTTGTCCAAATTTTTTCTCGCAGTTGTCACATGCGAAATCTTTGCGACCTTCATGAGCTATTTTTTGGTGTCTTCTAAAATTGCTTTGATCCCCAAATCTCATCTCGCACTTGTCGCATAAATGATCTTTGCGACCTTCGTGAACTATCTTTTGGTGTTTGAGCAAATTATGTTCAAGTCCAAACTTCTGCTCACACTTGGTGCATGCGTAGTCTCTGCGACCTTCGTGAACCGTCTTATGGTGTCTTATCAATTTTGATTTCTCTCCAAATTTCCGGTCGCACTTGTCGCATGCGTAATGTTTGAATACGTCGTGTTCTATGTTTAGGTTGAAGAGTAATTTTTTCTCGCACTCGTCGCTGGGAAAATATTGCCGACCCTTGTGAACTGTCTTTACATGTCTGAGGAAATTATATTTATTTCTGAATCTCTTAGCACACGTTTCACATAAATACTCTTTGAAAACTTCGTGGAATATTTTTTTGTGCTTGAGTAAAGTTGATTTATTTTCAAATTTCTTCTCGCACTTGTTACAATTAAAATCTTTGCAATCTTTATGAACTAATTTTTGGTGCGTGATCAAACTGGATTTTTTCACAAATTTTTCGTCACACTTGTCACATGGAAAGTCGTTGCGATCTTTGTGCTTTGATAATAATTGGTGCCGACTCAAATTACTTCGAAACTCAAATTTCTTTTCACACTTGTTGCATGCATATTTTTTCTCTTCATTGTGATGTGTGTCTCGGTGTGTTATCATACTTGATTTTAGCGTAAATGACTTCTGACAAATATTACAAACGTATTTTTTCTCGTTGCAAACAGCAATGTCGGGTTCACTTGAATTATCTTTCGAGACAACTTTATCGAATTTCTCCTTACTTTCATCCATTTTGGTGACTAAATGAAACGTTGGATTCTATACTGTAAAATTAATCTTTTGGTATTGTGTCTTGTTTCGTAATGAAAGATAATATTCAAACTAATTTGTTTTCACTTCGAACATGATCAGTTTGTATTGAGGGACTATGTCTAAATCGCTTATGATACTATTGTTTATAACCAACTTACCTGTTATACATTATCTTTACAAATTTGAGTCAGATTAAAATTTTAACTAGGTGGGACAATTTTTTCGAGGAATTTTTTCAGCCCTCTAAAACTTAGTACTTTAAAATAACTCCTTGTAATATCATTAGATCCTCATACGGTATTTTATAAATAATGTCAAATTTTTATATGCATTCCAAAATTTGGCTGCCCCCCGCACAATGGGGTAGTCGACGTGCTCCGTTATCGCCACTGTTCGGTACGCAGCTAGTTATATTTTCTTGTCATGTAACCGTAGCTGAGATTATTTCTTGCGTTGCTATAGCCGTACAGAAACACGGCGCATCTCCGTCATAATAAGCCAGTACA